CCAGTATCATTACCAGTTTGTCAAACCGCGGCTCAGAGAGTCAAGATGATAGTTATTCGTTAAGCATGCACTAGGGAATAAAAATTGAGTTACCCATATGACGCTACTGAACAACGTTTCAACCAAATGATCACTGAATTTCAGGCATATCTCTGCCATTCATCATCCCTGGTTTCAAAGTGATACTCACTTTTAAATGCCACCAGTATTTGCGGAGGCCTGGTAACGCCTTCAGTCACAACACAGACCACCCCATTCTGCTTTCTCCGTTACAAATTGGAGTGTTGTTGATGAGGTGGCATTCGCATATCTTGATTTCTGCTGAAGATGAAATAAGTTCATGTTGATGTTCAAAAGAGTTTAAGGAAAATGTTAATAGTGCAAAACTATTAGCACTTTCATTCTTGAAGCATTCATCAAAGCAATTTCAAACTGAAACAAGTGACTGTCATAAGACTGCTAATCTTATCCTATGTATGATAGAAATTACGGAAAACATTGTGAAATAAACTCCATTTACAGAAGGTTTGCATTGAAACATGTGTCGAAATTTCAGAATAAGTGAAAGTAGTAAACGTTTTCGAATATAAAAGATGATACGTATTAATTTATTTGGTTAGATAAACGTAGAAGTATGCTGGTAGGCGAAATAATCAGTTTATTTGACTCAGTTATGAGCTGTTCATGCATCCAGGATGATTTCTTCAACCATACTGGCTACCTTCATGCAATCATAAATCTTCTTTAGACAGTATATTAGGCTTTTGTATGGTCATAAATCTAAACATATCCTATATAATTCAATTGTGATACTATGTGACAATTCTTTTGGACTGTTACTGGTGTATATTTTATGTTCGATATTCTCTGTGATATTCAGTAGCTTTACTTTGACTTCGACATATTTTATAACTGACGGTAAATCGTCATTCCCTATAAAACAACTGAGAATCGGATGCTGGCAATAAGTCCGAACTGCATGAACTTGTAATCAGTAATCTGAAACATTAAGTGTTTGCCATCAAAATGTAAGCGGCAGATATGTGTGCAAGTTCTTGCAATTTTTGCTGTTACCATTTGCTGCTCGCCAAGTCTATAGACTAAAATTTGTTGTTTTTATTAATATTGAACTAGAAAATGACTGGCATCATGATACGTGATTAATCACTTAAGACCTTCGAAACATCATTTTCAACACCAATATCTTTACTTAAATTGTTATTATTGGTCCCTTGGGTTCCTAGTGGAACATAGGGCTTCACTAGCACGTCTCCAGTGACCTCTGTTCTCTGAGATCTTTTGAACCTGGTCCCATGACAGCCCAGAAGCTCTCATTTCCTCCTCGCACGACCTCCTCCATGTCACCCTCGGACGTCCAACTCGTCGCTTCCCATGGGGATTCCACTCGAGTGACTGGCCTGACGCGTGATGTCCTCAGTCGGCCTTCTCAGTGCATGCCCCATCCATCTCCACTTCTTCCTGCATATTTGTTGCGTGATAGGTTCTTGGTTGGTTCGTTCCCAGAGTTCCTTGTTGCTTATTTTTTCTGGCCATCTGATCTTCAGCAGCGAGCGTAAGCAGTTGTTGATGAATATCTGTAGTTTATTGGAAATACCTTTCGTGGCGCGCCAAGTCTCTGAGCCATACAAGAGCACTGACTTGACGTTGGTGTTGAAAATCCGTATCTTGTTCCGCATGCTGAGTGCAGAAGATCTCCACACTGGTTTCAGGCTAATGAACGCCTGTCTTGCTTTTCCGATTCTGACTTTGACGTCCTCGTCCGTCCCGCCTGTAGTTGAAACAGTGCTTCCTAGATAAGTGAAGGAGGTTACTTCCTTCAAGTTTCTCCCGTTGACGGTGATTGGAGTTTGTTGTTGTTGTTGATGGTGGTGGTGCGGTATCTTCATCACTTCTGTCTTCTCTATATTCACCTGAAGTCCCGTCTTAGCTGCCTCTTCTGTCAACTTGTTAGTTTTTGCCTGCAGATCTTCAAGTTTATGTGACATTAGGCATAAGTCATCGGCGAAATCCAAGTCTTCTAGGTTCTTTTCCGTCGTCCAGTGTATCCCCCTCTTCTCGCGCCCCACTGTTTGCTGCATGATCCAGTCCACCACAATAAGGAATATCATGGGGGATAGTAGGCAACCTTGTTTCACCCCTGCCTTCACTTCAAAAGCATCACTGAGCTTCCCATTGTGAATTACTTGGCTGGTATGTGGCATCTTCATATAGTTGTTGAATGAGGCGGATAAAGGTTTGCGGTACTCCGTAGTATTGAAGCAGTTTCCAAATTACTTCTCGGTCGACACTGTCAAAGGCCTTTTCAAAGTCGATGAAGTTGAGGTAGTGAGCTGATTGCCATTCTATGCTCTGTTCTATGATGATACGAAGCGTTGCAATTTGGTCAGCACATGATTTGTACTTCCTGAAGCCTGCCTGTTCCGGTCGTAGTTTTGAATCCAGTGCGTCTTTAAGCCTCTCTAGGATGATGCGGCTTAATATTTTACTTGCACTGGGTGGACAGGAGAGTGATTCCGCACCAGTTCTTGCAAGCACTGAGGTCTCCCTTCTTCGGCAGTTTGACAAGGTAACCCTTCTTCCAATCGTCAGGTACCTTCTCTTCCTCCACACCTTCTGCAATAGTGGTGTGAGCATGTCCGCTGTTGTCTCTGCATCTGTTCTCAGTGCTTCTGGCGGTATTCCATCTGGTCCTGCTGCTTTCCCACATTTCAGTAGCTTTATGGTGTTCAGGACTTCCATTTTTGTTGGAGGATTTATGGTCACTTGTAATTCAGCGGGTGCAGGTGGTATTTCTGGACGAAGTGCAGGTGGTGGTCGATTCAAGAGCTTCTTGATGTGGTCGGCCTATCGTTTCCTCTGTTTCTCTTCTTTTGTAATTGAATTTCCTTCTTCATCTTTTATTGGTTTCATCTGTGTTGGTCTCTTCCCTGATAGCAACCTGGTTATTTGATACAATGTCGTCAGGTCTCTCTTACCTGCAGCCTGTTCTGCTTCACTTACCAATCTGTCGTAGAAGTGTCTTTTGTCTTTGCGTGCACTCTTCTTCACTTCTTTGTCCAGTGTAATGTTTTATACATTGTGCTCAGTTCCTCTTGTCGTTGAGCATCCTTGCACTGGTTTATCTTCTGCTTCACCATCCTCCTCTCCCTGCTATATCAGCTTCCAGGTATCCGTCGAGATCCATTCCTTGTCTTCTTTCTTCTTCCTTCCTAATACGGCTGTGCAGGTTTCTTTCCACATAGCTTTCAAAGACTTCCAGTGTTCTTCCACACAGGTTTCTTCAGGGATGTTGCTCGATGTCTCCCATTTTGTCTTGATGGCTGGCTGCCGTGAAGATCTCCTTTGTAGTTTCGTCCTTCAGTTTCCGAGTGTTGTACTTGAATTGAGGTCTATCACCAGCTTCCTTGAAGGCTTCTAACTTGATTTGGAAGGTTCCTTGCACTAGATAGTGGTCTGAGCCTACATCTGCTCCTCTTCTTGACCTTGTGTTCAGTAGACTGCGTCTCCATTTTCTTGAGATTGAGATAAAGTCGATTTGATTTTTAGTGTGTCCATCTGGTGAAGTCCATGTCGCTTTGTGGATATCTTTGTGCCTGAACACACTGCCTGCCTCCAATCACCAAATCGTTGAATGCGCAGAATTCTGCAAACAATTCTCCATTCTCATTCATTTCACCTAGCGCCTCTCGACCCATGGTTAGTTCTCTTCCCGTGTTGTCCCCTCCCAGTTTGGCATTCATGTCGCCCATCAGAATTTTGATATCGCCAACTGGAGTGGTGTCTTGTCCAGTGTTGATTGAAGTTGTCTGTAGAAATCCTCCTTTTTCTCTTGCTCTGCATTATTTGTAGGTGCATAACATTGTATGATTGTGACCTTCCTTCTTTTTGAGTTGAACCTTGCTGTCATGATCCTGGAGGAGATTGGTTCCCACTGCATGAGAGCCTTCGATGCTGTTGGAAACATCATGATGGCCACTCCATACTTCAGTGTGCTCGTGGTTGTTGTCTCGGTGACAATATCGGAGTAGATTATTGATTCTCCAGTTGACAGTTTGGAGAGTCCACTCCCATTCCATCTGCTTTCGCAAATTCCAAGCACTTCGATGTGATACCTCTTCATCTCGTTCGCAATCTGGGCTGCCTTACTGGGTTGAAACATCGTGCGGACATTCCATGTCCCCACGTTTACTTTCGCTTTCATCGAGAGAAGACACATCGGCCAATTGGCTTCCCGAAGGCTTTCACCAACTGGCGTCATTTCGCCTCTCCGATTCCAGCGGGGAATAATTTTGTTTTCATTTTTTATATTTTGTTTGTGCTTTGAAGTTTCTTCAGCGGTTAGATTTGTTTTACGGGGTAGGGTTGCTAGCCCTATGCCCAACCTTCCCTCTTTACCCGGGCTTAGGACCGGCTAGTAACTAGTAAACTAGTTAACCAGGCGTGGTTAATATCTTTACTAGAGATTCAAAATGGTGAGTGAAAAACTAAGTTTCAACTTTTAATTCTGATCTGTGTCTAGTTAATTTTAGTAAACACTACAAAGGTTTAACGCTTAAAAGTATTACTCAATGTTGACTCCTATTCCTTCATAGAATGTCAGGTATCACAGAGAACTACCTACTTTCATGACATTTAGATCAGTTGAAGTAGTAATTTAATCAACATCAATGTGTATATTAATTTAAAATGTATTACACCTCATCAGACTGACTTTACATGTAAAACATCTAGGATGCGATTAATGAGCACCTGCATTTCGAGTATGACTAGACTTAGTTTGATTATAATACATGAAACTTTTCAACTAATTCATCACTGATTTATCGTTAAAAATTTTCAAAGTGTTTGCACAATTCGAGAGTCAGTTATAGTGTGATTGACAGAGCGAGTAGTATTTCTATGAACTGTCAGATGATCTCTTTTATTTTTCTGGTTGGATAACACAGAAGCACATGTTATATTTTTATGTGTCTTTGTAGAAATTTCTACCAAATATAACGCAATACTCAATTCTCTTACACCTTGGCTTTTGGAATTATGTGCATTATGAACCAGAATTCGAAATACTTTTGGATACTGCTTTATATTCTACTGAATATTTTGAACAGACGTAAGTAATAATGTTCAATAACACTTATTGTGAGGAATTTGTGCTACTCTGTACGTAAGGTGAGATTGGAGTATCGACGTCTACAAGTTCTTTAGAGCCTGAAATACTGACAGATTCACATGTTGTTTAGAATGTAGGATGTTTCCTTGATCAGAATATTCGAAGTGAAAAATACTTTTCACGCTTGTTGAATCCCTAATGAGCAGTATTTTTAAAATTTCGATATCGTAGCTAAGATTTTTAACCTGAACTGGTGGTATTTTCGAAATGCAAAGTGGTGAAAAGCAGACTGGAATTCTTATTATACACTCAACTTGTGACAACGTCAATGTATTGCACTGACTTCGCAGCCTGGTGCAGAATGTTGCAGTAGGTCAGTCATGGAATCTCTAACCTCATTCATTTCAATGTGAGTAGTAACACAACTTAATATGAACTTATTCTCTATCACACTGCAAACGTTTTCCTGTTACAAAGTTGGTTCTTTACTGGATCTTAGTGCGCATCCTTATGCTGAAAATGCTAACAGATAAGTATCAGTGGAAAGATTTGTAGATACCAAAAACAATCCACTGACAACCACCATTATTTTACATGGCTAGAAAAAAACAATATTTGCCGTAAATGACTTGAGATATATTGTTCCCATGAAAAATTGTTGAAAATTTCTAGCCTATAAATGAATTATCATAGGATGTGAATTCTTCTCCCTAGGTTGATTGTATTTCATGAAAGTGTGAAACAACAAAACAATGCTTAAACATAATTCATCACAGCCATTAAAACCTAATAGCTATGTCTTTTCCTTTTGCATGCGCAGACTACTGCTTAACTATCCAGTGCTACAGATGCAAGTTTTGTCCTGAATTAAATGGCACGGTTGAAGTAGTTAGTGGTTGCACAACATGCACAGTAAGTATCATTTCTGTTATTTCTTGAGGCCTGTATGAAACGTTCATCAGGAAACATACGATGTTTTCGCAACATTCGATAGGAATAAATCTCTGTCCTCGTTTCAATTGAAATGTATGATGTAGCAAAGGCAGTTTGATTTTGTAAAGGTAAAAGGTATTCACCAGGTATGCAATCCACAGGTGAAAGCAAATTAAGTTCCTTAAAAAAAAAATAAATGAGTGACCAAGTAATGAAATTGTTGTATGTGCAGTATGAGTTCAGGGTTACACAAAGCGAAAATCTAAGCTTGTGAATTTTTCTTCTTCATAAGCAGATTAGGCCTTAGTTATTGAATCTTTTGTGTGTCAATGATGCAAGCATTTAAAACCTTCTGGATTTCAAATTATACGGCTTGGATTTAGAGATAATTTTGAATAACAATCTACCTGAACTCTGTGATTTAGGCTTATGAGGTTTTAAAATATTAAATTACTATCCAATTTACCCTTCCTTATAAATAATTATGCCTAATATGCTTAATATAATGCTGTCATATGCCTTTTAAAAGAGAACGGTATCTAAAGTCAAGGAGATCAGATGAAATGAAACATCATTACTTATGAACTTGAATAGATGTCATCTGAATTTCCAGCTGGTCTCCGACTCATTTCTAGTATAAAATTTTGATGCAGAGGGATACTTCAAATCCTAGGAGTAAGCGATATGCTAAAGATTTGCAGGTGATATCTGGTTTTCAAAGTAAATATTTCAAATAAAATATCAAAATAGTGTAAAACTGACCAATATTTAGTACAAATCTCAATATTTTTCAATCAACTCTGTTCTCGAATTTGTACTTTTTTCACTTCCTTTTGATAAATTTTGTAATTCAATCTCAAATTGTCGTACAATATTTTATGGGATTTTATGTGTTCCCTAAATAAAAAATGATTAAATTTTGAGGGAGTTGTGGGGATTTGGAAATATCTCGATCCCTGGCGGGGTCGTGGGTGCGCACTGCTGAGAAGTCCCACACTAGGACGAAACAGATATCCAGTGCTTTCGGGTTTCCTTCGTTCTTCCAACCGAGGTCAGTCTATCATGCATAAAAACTTGAAAAAAATGATTACTCAGATTCACATCATTATATCGTAAGAAATTAAACTGTTCTAATGATAAATGTTCATTCCCCTATGCTATATAAAACGGGTCTTTCACTATCTAGGGAAATTACGCTTTTCCAAAGTAGTCTTCACACAATGCGTATCTACTTTTCATCCACTATTACAGTGGATGAAGACAAGCAAATAATCAATTCACACATATTTTTTTCTATTCAGAACGTTATGTTTTATTTCCTGAGAAGTTGAACTATGTGAATGAAAAGAACTATAATCTTTTGGCTTCACTTCGATCGGTTTAGGCTATTAAAGCTTATACTCACATTTTTCAAAGTAGACTATCCTACCTGGCCACGGTGCACTTAATTTTACTGGATACTTGAACCTCATAGATAAACTGTTTCAGTCGTTATTTTTATCCGTTCAAATTTCATCAACTCCTCTTATAATTCTTGACGGTAACGTTAACCTATATCTGTTAACCAATTGCTTGCAGTTTTATGGAACATACCCCGAAATTTTCAGAAATTGCTTGTTAAGCGACAAGTGGCTACCTCAGAATGGTGCAAAACCTCATGAAGGTCATTGTTTTACAGATCTGTGTAATGTAAAGAAATTTAGTCCAACCACTGAAGAACCTAGCCATCGTGAACCGACTGAAAAGATACGTAAGTAGTAAAATGTCGTAACACTTTCTATTTTACGTAATACTTGGTCATATTAGTTCTTCCTACCGAGTCACTCAAATTAATATCGGAAATCTGAACTTCTTTATTGAATTAAAACTACCTCATCATCTGTCGAAATGAGTTTTTCCGACAAAAAATGTTTCGTCCTGTCCTCAACTAAACATTCCATAGTACTTGTTTAGTACTTAATTAGACTATAACAGATGTTTGTTTCTAAAAGATTTTTTAAATGGCTGAACCCCTCAATCAAACATTTTTCTAACTAATGGGGCCTGTCTTTTATGCCATTCGCCAATAATAATTTTAGGTGATAATATCTTGTTAGAAATTAGCACATGTAACAAATCTGAAACACGGTTTCTTATCTATTATGTTTCTAAGTCTGTCAAAATGTTGCAGGTAATTACTGTTCTCATCCTTCATCAAACAAATGACATCCAGTCGGAGTGAACTGCTTTTTCTACTGAAATCATTGCTTTCCACTATTCTGTTGTGAAAATACTTTCTGAATATTGTATCGTCGTTGTTGTCAGCTTTAAGTGATGAATACCTACTAAGCATTTCCTATTTTGCATCAGCGTCTTAACAGTAATGCAGTAAGGAAAACAATAAAAGAAGGCCTGGTAGTTTGACGTAAACACCGCGTACAACCTCTGAATCCACTTTTAAGAATATTTTATAGCCGATAATAAGAAAAAGCGCCATATTCTTTCTCTCATAGTTCTCAGAACATCAAAACATTATTCCTGTGTCAAAAATATATGATATATTTTCAGAATACTGACATTCTGATAAGAAGACAGGATATAATTCCTCCATCGGATTTCCTATAACTGTATAGCATATCTGGCGACCTGTTCTTTTGCATGTGGAGAGGCTCTTTCCTTTCCACACTGATAAAAATATTATGTCTAGACACCTATCATACTCAGTCAGGAACATTTTTGCTTAACTACAGAGGAAAATTAAGTTATTTTACGCTGCCTATTAAGTGTATTTGGATAGTTTTTGGCTGTTATTAAAGAATCCCAAGATCCAAAGTATTCTATTAATGTTGATCACAAACGGCTATACGGCTAAGTCTGAGACTCTTTAGTGATATAAGGTAGCATCCTACTTCAAACCAAAACATCAAATATCCCCCTCTTTCACAGTAATGTTCACATAGCGTCATTCAGTAATCCTTAAGCTACAAACAAAACACTGCATTCTATTTACCTTAATCATATTCATCAATGAAAAATATATATTTACTGGATTCTAAACAATAATACCGAAATGAAAGAAGGTGAATGCTTTACAACTTAAGCCTTGTTGTAATTTCGGGTGATAACTTTTATTTTTGTTCACACGAAATTTAGTGATATCAATAATTAGCATGTCTTATTGAGAAATATGCGTTCACATTTTAACTTGATCTGTAATGAATAACAGCTGTCAATAGAATTCCAAAGATTCTGAAGTTCCGCAACAACTGATTCTCTTTCTGCTCTTCTTTATAGGAAACAAACTGAGAGCGAACTGTGTTTTTACAACTAGTGTATTTTCTTTTGAAAATATAATTTTGCTAGACATTATTTATTTTTGTGGATATAAATATCAAGCTAAATCAAATGGTAACACATGTGTATCTGAAAATGATAGGGCTATAAATTTGGAGTGGAAAGTGTGGAAAGTGTAAAAAGATACAGGATACTGCCTGACCAGATCCTGTTCAAACTCAGCCTGCCGCATAGATTTTCTTATTAACGGTGATTATTCATAGATAGTTGATAAAAAAAATCAATATGTCTTACAATTGTGCTTTTTCAACACAACTCGCATATGCTGATCTAGAAAAAGAAAGGTCTTTGTGTTAAATTTAAAAAACGCTCCGTCAATTTCAGATTTTGTTAGCTTTAAGAAGACTTTATAGTTTGACTACTCCATTATATTCAAATAATAGGAAATTTTCTACTTTCTGGTTATCTTAATTCAAGAGGTATGGAAAGTCTTTCTCTCGCTTAGTAGTGGTAATAATAATGCTAATAATAATCGTTTGATTGCAAACGATATTTGGAAGTAGATATATATAAATAATGTGAAATATTGAGTTCGTAGCCTATTTTCTTCAAGTGATCGCACCAAAGTTACAAACTTAAGACAGACAAACTTTAAAATTGTTAATAAAGGTTGGATTTAATCATTCATTGAGAAACAACATACATAGAAATTATTTTGAACGTCATGAACTATGCACTAAATTTTCACTAATGATATTAAATAAGATACTGGGCTCAGAGAAATATAATCAAAATCCTAGAGGGTCCCAGCTTATAAAAGAAGTGGATCAACGCCATGTTCGTCCACAAATCACCATCTGATGGATTCACAGTGCCAGGATTCCATGGAGATATATCATCAAACAATATTGCTTACGTTAGCTGTCATCAGGCTCTATTCTAATAAACAACCTGTGGTTTTAACTACCTTGTATGTGATCAAAGAGATAATACCATTTTGTGTTATTTCCTTCAGGATGCTTGTTAATTATTTTCCACTTCTCTGTTTAAATCTTTGTCATCACAAAGTTTTGATACTTTGTTTTGTCATTCAGTAAAGAATGCATCTAACCAAAATATTCGCTTTTGTTCCTTAGCATTACACTTGCTCCCTTATCTAGTTTACCAATAATCAGGGGTTCATCTTCCCATGGTTTTCTTTAAGCTTCTTTATGCTGTTTTGCCAATAAACCTTTAAATTCTGGTTATATATTATTGGGAGCTGTGAAGTTATGTAGTTTCGAATCTAGCAATTTCATCCTCCGATGATAAAACTAAGTCATTTATTTATGAAATTGATTTTTTGAATCACACATTTGTATTGGATCGGTTAATATTACGCATGAAGTCACAGACTTGAGGGGCTAAACAATAACATTTCTAATGAAACTCACTTACTTGGACACTGAACACACCGATTTTAATGTGAAATGAACTGCCTTTCTGACATTCAGTTTTCTCATGATGACTTCAAAGATAATTTCAATTTTTCATCCACTTCCTTTTTTAAACCCCATTCACCTACTGCTCATTTGCTTGCGCCTTGAACATATACACACTTTGTCCTTTAGTGCTGTACAAGTTTTATTTTTCTGTTTTGATCTACGTTGATTGTTTAAATGTCTACAGTTTCACGCTGTTCCCATTATTATCACCACCATTGAGGTAATGATAATTTTTATTATTGTAATATCTGGATATTAACCATTTGTACATTTGATCTCCTTGTTACTACAAAGAGAAAAAATTCACCATGAGTGGTTTAATGTTTTATATGTGGGGAAATCTATGCATATTACATTACAACCTGATGAAAGCTAGTTGTTAGCAACACTGTTTGATTGTATATTTTCTCCTAACCTAGCTTTTATTCAGCTGTATTTGGTTGCAGTCCATTGGAGCAAGTTAACTATACAATCACTTAATTCTTCCTCTTTTGTTGCTCTTGGTTTCCTAATCTTGATCACACTATCTCAAAGGATGTTTTTCTATGTTCTTTGTGTCGTCTTCTCCAGTTTCTTCTACAGTCACAGTTGCCAATGTTGTAAAACGTTTTGTTGCGAGTTTCACTTATATCAGGACTAATTGCAGAAGCAATGATTCAAAGATACGAAACTGTGGTATTGCAATCGATCGAATCAAAAATTTCGGTCCATAATGTGGATGACGCATTTTTCATTATGAAGCTGATCAGTATTGTAAACGAATTAAATTAACCACAAACATTTCTGGCGACATCAAATTTACAATTTAGGAGGAATGAAAAAACCAACTTGGGATGTTCTGATTACCGGAACGGAATTGGGGAAATCGGAAACCGAAGCATACGGAAAACCAATTCATACGGGTCTAATACTCAAATGCGTTAACAACAACAGATATCCACACAACTTCATCAGATGTTTGTATGATTCGTAGTTGAACTAGAACTTAGCCTCGGAAACCAACAAATGGATTGTCCCACCCGAACTGAAGAACGTCTCCAAGATCACAATTAGATTATTGAGGCCTTTTGGCATTGCTGTTTCTCACAACTCCAAGAATCCCTTGACTCTGTGATATGCAGGTCAAAAGATACAATGGCAAAGGAAAACAAAAAAAATTAACTGTAGAAACTGCGATAAACACTACATCAGACAAAGTGGTCGCTCTTTTCGTATCCGTTTACATAAACGTCAACTAACAGTGAAGTGTCATGAAATATCTTCGCTAATATCAATGCTTACAGACAACTGTGGACATGAAGTTGACTAAGAAAATGTGAAAATCCTGGGTAGGGGAAACATCAAGAATGTCAGAGGATTTCTAGACACTTGGCATTCAATCGGTCTCCAATCAAGAGACATATTGACGTTGAACCAATATGTGAACCAATGAGAAAATAAAAGAAGGTGGAATTTCATATCAGAATGACAACCAATCGAAAAATATATGCAGACAATGTTACGTTTTTGGCAGAAAAAGCCGATCACATACAAAGACATCAGGGAAAACTACTAAACTACTTATGAAAGAAACCCTATAGCCCAATTTTTTCTGACCTTTATGCTGATGATGTTGCCTAGAATGAATATAAAAGCCTCACAATTCGACCATCAGACTCGGACAACCCAGCACCATCAAAACAATACTCCTGTGGTAAAAATATTTTCCATCAGCTCAAACTCCTAGGGCAGACAATTGTACAACGATCTCAGGTTTCTAATGATTCTCCAACTGATTTCTGTTCATGAAAAATGCCACCTTCAATCATATAAATCACCACTAGCTTACAAAATGAATTTCATATGAAATCGATTAATTTAGGACGGATAGCACTGCATAGTATTACATACTATATGGTATTACATATAGAATCCCTTAGAATGTCATATATATATATATATATATATATATATATATATATATATATATATATATATGTTCATACAATATCATGGCGTGTAACATTAACTAAAAATCCAATACGATTAAAAGAATCTGAAAAACAAAAAGTGAAATTTCAAAAACATAATACATACATACATAAAATTCCAAGTCACATCTAACGTCTTGCTTAATAGAAGAAAGTGAGGTGAAGAATATTCATTGAATTATTCAACAATTCTCAACAATAATAATTATTTTCCTTGTGTTATACTTTAGCGGTAAACATCATGTGCTATGCATGTACAAAATGTACAAAGGGTCAACAAACAATTCAACATTCTTGTGGTGCATGCGCAGTAAGTCAAGTATTCTACTCAGTCTAATAAATTTGTATTCATTGTTCCACAGATTAATTAACATCATAAACAAATAGGATTGAATTGATTTCACTTCATCATTTCACCATTTTCAAAACCTGTACTCATAACAGTATATGTACCGTCAGTGACTAAAACTCAGGTGTTTGCAATAAAATTTTAAATCCTTTCTCATAAGGCTATCTAAAGTCTCATATATCATTACCAACATCTCCACGATTCATCTCTCATTAAACACACAAGATTCGGTAGTGTTAGAAGAACGGATCAGCCAGATACAGGGAAAGTGAACATCACAAGAGACTGTGGTTCAAATGAGTCAATCTCTAGTCGTTTCATTGATGCATTGAGGTGCTCACCAATTTGCAAATAAACCGAAATAACCAGAACAATTCAGATATCATCTGATTGTCATGCATCACGTGTTAGTGCTAAGTAATTAGGAAACAGATATCCTCCTAATCAAGGTTTTGTGTCAACAACCCTGACTTCCAAGCGATGACCACGACCGAATGAACCAAGCTGTCTGTCGGATTTGTGGTGAGTTTGTGTGGTGACCAAACAACACCTGGTCCTGAAACACTTGATGTTGCACAGATATTTGTCAGGATAACCCTAGTCGACAAACCTATTGATGCTTTGCTTCATATCTGTAGTTGGAACATGAGGACCATCGATATTAGAACCATCGGTAGATAAAATCGTTTCAGCTACAAAAGTACATTTATTAAAACAACATCAGAGAGAAAAGCACCTTCCAGTAGCAAGGATACAGCTCCAAATACAACAGAAATACCCCTTCCATTCTGGAACAACTTTCCATCTAAACATTTGGAGGTAAGTTGGTTCACTGAGTGTTCGGCATTTCAATGAATGCTATTAATACAAGCATCACTGCAAAGCAATCTCGTGGTGCTCACTACTTTTCGTTTACATTACATTCAGTGACGCAAAATACGAAACTTCACCTGATGTACTCAACTACTTACTTACAAATAAACCTTTTGTTTCAGACCCATTTGAAACCAGGATATACTGACAAGTATTGTCTCAACTCATGTGACGAAGCTCCAGATGAACAAGGAATGTATTGCTGCACAACTGATCTGTGTAACGGAATGACAAAATTGAATTTTCATGGAAGTGCCATCATCTTTATACTTGTGCTCACAGGAATCAATGTCTTCATTCTGTAGAACAGTGAGAAACTGATAACCCTCACATGACACAACTCACACATGACCATTTTCACAAAACATTCAACATAAGGAGACTAGCTTCTCATCCATTTGCTTGTTCCACTCCATCTCATATTTGCAACTCAATCATAGCTTGCATCATTGACTATTTTGAGTTTAATCCCTTCAACACTTTACACAATTATGGCATTTGAATAAAATATTTCGACGATAAGTGATATTTTAGTGTTGTGTTGTGACACATGGGGAAGGTTCTAAGGAATACACTTGACTAGGAACTCGCATCTTGTGAAATATTCCGTTTCCACGTTATGGTCAATACTGAGGTTTGTTTCGCATCATTGGAGCTTCACAGTGCATGCAGATTGCGACCTGCAAACACTGAGGTAGTAAGGTTGACTGTCATCACAACACAATCACTCATACCATTTTTATACGATCATCCATTTGTTCGAATCAACAAAAGGAATACAACAAATCATCATATTACGATATACAACATAATACAGTTAAGAGAATGATACTGTGTAAAGGGAAAATGTCTCTTCTCTGCAATTGTGTGTTTTCCTATGTCAACATGGGGTTGTTTCGATATTTGAAGAAGGATGGAAACTGTATTACTAATCGCAGCCCATCCTTGCTTGGTTAACTAGTTACTTGCTGGTCCTAAGTCTGGGTAAAGAGGGAGTTTGGGCATACGGCTAGCAACGCTACCCCGTTAAACTAACTAATCCAACCGCTAAAAATCTTCAAAACACAAAAAATGTTTACGAGAAATGAAAGCAAGCTTATTCCTCGCTGGAATCGGAGAAGCGAAAGGACGCCGGTTGGTAAAAGCCTTGCGGAAGCCAGTCGACCGATGTGTCTTCTCTCGATCAAAGCGAAAGTAAGGATGGATACACGGAATGTCCGCACTATGTTTGAACCTAGCAAGGCTGCACAGATTGCAAACGAGATGAGAAGTTATAGTTTTGAAGTGCTAGGAATTCGCGAAAGCGGTGGAATGGAAGGGACTCTCCAAAATCTTAACTGGACAGTCAACAATCTACTCCAATGTTGTCACCCACACGACAACCATGAGCACACTGAGATTTGGAGTGGCCATCATGACGTCCCCAACAGCATCGAAGGCTCTCAGGCAGTGGGAACCAATCTCCTCCAGCATCAGGATCATGACAGCAAGATGGATTCAACTCAAAAGGAAGGAAGGAAGGTCACAATCATTCAATGCTACACTACTCACCTACAAATAATGCAGATGAAGAGAAGAAGGAGGAATTCTACAGACAACTGCGATCGCTACTAGACAACACTCCAGTTGGCGATATGAAAATTCATTCTGATGGACGACATGAATGCCAAACTGGGGGGGGGGACAACACAGGAAGAGAACTAACCATGGGCTGAGAAGCGCTCGGTGAGGTGATGAACGAGAATGAGAATTATTCATAGAATTCCGTGCATTCAACGATTCAGTGATTGGAGGCAGTGTGTTCAAGCACAAGAATATGCACAAAGCGACATGGACTTCACCAGGCACCAGAACACACAAAACTTCAAATCGACTTCATCTCAATGTGAAGAAAGTGGAGATGGAGACGCAGTCAGCCTACTAGACACAAGATGAAGAAGAGGAGTGGATGTGGGTTCACACTACTCACTGTCTAGTGCAAGAAATCTACCTTCATAATCAGCTGAAAGCCTTCAAGACAGTTGGCGATAGACACAGGTTTCAAGTTGAACACCCAGAACAGAAACTGAACTGAGGGATAAACTACAGAGGACATCTTCACATCAGTCATGAGAACAAAATGGGAGATATTGAGCATTATCCTTGTAGGATCGGACGTGAAGGAACACTGGAACTCTTTGAAAGAGATGTGGAAAGAAACCTGCACAACCATTTTAGGAAGGAAGAGGAGATAAGACAAGGAATGGATCTCGATGGACATATGGAAGCTGATAGAGGAGAGAGAGGAAGATGGTGATGGTGAAGCAGAAGATGAACCAGTGCAAGGTTAAACGACGAGAAAAGGAACTGAGTACAGCGTGAAAGGTGATGGACAGAAAAGTTAAGAAGAGTGCGCACGAAGACATAACACACTTCTACGACTTATTGACAAGTGAAGCAGAACAGGCTGCAGGTAGCAGAAATCTGACTACACTATATCAAATATCCTATTTGAGGGGGAAGAGATCTACGCAGACGAAACTAATGAAAGTTAGTAAAGGAAACTTAGTTAGCAAAGAGGAGAAACAAAGGAAACGATGGGCTAGTCACTTCAAAATCTCTTGAATCGACCATCACCACCACCTGCAACTCGTACACAAATACCACCAGCAATGACAGAACTACAAGTGAACACAGGCACTCTGACAAAAGCAGAAGTCCTGAATGCTACAAAAAATGCTGAGGTGCGGGAAAGCAGCAGGACCAGAAGGAATTCCACCAGAAACACTGGAAACAGATAAAAGAGACAACAGCGGACATGCTCATACCACTACTGCAGAAGGTTTCGAAGGAAGGAAGGAAGGAAGGAAGGAAGGAAGGCAAGGTACCTGCTGATTGATTGGAGGAAGGGCTACCTTGTCAAACTTCTAAACAATGGAGACCTAAGCCTTGGCAAGAACTGGCGAAGAATCATGCTCCACCCCTGTCCACCACAAGCAAAATATCATGCCGCATCATTCTGGAGAGACTTAATGATTCGCAGCAAATCAAGTGGAGCCAGAGGATGGACATTCTCTGGACCGAAGAAATGAACCTAGAAGACTTGGATTTCGTCGATGACTTGTATCTGATGTCGCACAAATTTGAAGATTTGCAGGCGAAAAATAACAAGTTGACAGAAGAGGCAGGGTAGAGAAGACATGACTTCAAGTGAATATAGAGAAGATGAAGATTACCAACCAACACCATCACCAAAGACAACAAGTTCCAATTACCATCAACGACAGAAACTTAAAGTAAGTAGCCTCTTTCACTATCCTGGGAAAGGCAGCACCGTTTCAACTACAGGCAGCGGCACAGACGAGGATGTAAAAGTCAGGATTGGAAAAGCAAGACAGCATTCGTTACCCTGAAACCAGTGTGAAGATTTTCCGCACTCAGCGCGTGGAACAAGATCCGAATTTTCAACACCAAGGTCACGTCAGAGCTTCTGTATGGTTCAGAGGCTTGGCGCGTTACGAAAGGGATTTCCAACAAACTGCAGACATTCATCAACGACTGCCTACGCTCGTTCCTGGAGTTCGGATGGCCAGAAGGAATAAACAACAAGGAACTTTGGCCTGTCAACGAACCAACCAAGAACCTATCACTCAACAAATATGCAGAAGGAAGTGGAGATGGATTGGGCATGCACTAAGAAGACCATTCGGGGACATCACGCACTCGAGTGGAACCCAGATGGGAAACGACGAGTTGGGCGTCCGAGGCGAGGGTGATATGGAATAGATTGTATGAGGAAGAAATGAGAGCTTCTGGATTGTCTTGAAGCCGGGTTCAAAAGATAGCGGAGAACAGAATGCAATGGAGACGTGCTACTGAAGCCCATGTTCCACTTCATAGCTACTCCCGAAAACAGTAAACTTCGATCGTTATTCAACCAGTTCCATCTATCCAAGAGATAAATACATGGGTGACATTTTCATTAACCTTAGGAAGAATAGTAACCTGAAGACATACTATGGAAATCCAAGTCATGTCGCAAGTCAATTAACTTTTCCATGGAAACTGAAAATGACTTAGGATTCAATTTCTTGGAAGTTCTAATGAGAAGAAGACATGATGGTTACTTAAGAAGATCGATTTACGGGAAACAAAACCTCAGGAGACAATATCCTAATTTTCAAATCTGGTTTCAGTTGGGTAAACTGTGATCACCTCCGCATAACCGAGATATTGGAGGATAATTAAGGAAATATTCTTAGACAAGTTTATTTTACATGTACAGTTTAGCATTCAAACAATTATCTGTCAGCATACCGGAGAAAGTATATTCATTGATAGTAAGCCATACATAAGGATGATGGGAATATAATGCAAGCTCTGTTAATCTATCAGGTTCGTGATTCGAATGTTCCCTTCTGATGCCTTTTATTGGATTAGGCTATTTTTATGTACAATGTCCGAAGGTGGAAAACTTAAAACATGCAGAAAAAGTCACACCATTCCGATAATCATTTCTCAACCGTAATTATGTAGAAGTCCTCAAAAACAAATATCAAAAGTGATCAAATGTATAAATGAACTATACACTGTAGATAACTCTTAATAAATGAAGTGTGTTTGCCAAAGAAAAAAAATCACAACTTTATGCATCGATTTTCGTAGCATGTTTCAGTCATATGATCAGTCGGCGGTAGTAAAATACCAACCTACCCAGTGTATCCTTAACTTGCTTTCGTTACACAAAGAGAATCTTTTTCTAAAAAATTTACATGACACTGGTTATCAAACTGTATGCAATTGTAATGTCTTTGAATATTCTGAAATTTTATTAGTATAAGTGTAAACCTCGGGCATTGTAGTAGGATTTAATTCCACATTAGGTTTGTTTATTTGATTTATATAGCATAGTGATACAATATTATTTACTTGATGACATTCTGAGTATAAATTATTGCTTAATAGTTTATACTGGGAACGTGATCAAGTGAATAATACTATACCACTGCGTGTTGTAAATCAAATAAACAAATCTAATATGGGATTCTTGAATTTTATTTTGAAGGGTTTGATAGCTAGTTTAGCATTTTGTGAACTTGACTGATGTATGTAACACTACGATAGTCATTGTTTTATCACTTAAATCACTCAATGTGAACCTATCCTTTTTTATAACAGACAACCTAAACTTGTTTATGAAGTGTAGGCCCAATCGAAATTCCATATTGTTGACTAAACTCCTCTACCTTCCACTGCATGAAATTATGAAAACATTATGTTGGTTACCCAATTGAAGCCTATTCAAGGCTTAAGTGAAAATTTAACTCTAGAAAGTAAGATGACTACTGTTAGACATACAAGCCTACTTCACGATGAGACACAATAAAAATGACATGAGTAAAGCAAAGTAATAAGAGGGCAGTCCAACGACAGGCATGCAGTAGTATATCATGAATATAGAGGAGACAGCAAATACAGGTAAGTATGAAATGCATAAGGAGCTGGTTCTACAGAACAGAAGGAGTCACCACGAATGCGGAAGAGCG